AGAGAAATGCCACCTGCTCAGAGCTGCCCAGCAGCTGAGCTTTCCTGTGACTTTCCTTACCAGCGTGTCCATTGGATTTTTACATCAGGTGGATTGCAGTAACCTGCTGGGATCTCAACCAAAAGGCCACTCAGTTGACTAAACATTTTTATTTTGCACGGGGATGCTCCTGTGCCGCCCCTCCCTGACCTGGAAAAGCACTGGAACCTCCAGCAGCCCACTATTGTAGGAAAACTGAATTTTTACCAGAGCCTCTCAGAAAGCTTCATATTTAATACAAACACATAATTAGGTTTGCTTCCATAATTCCACCTTTCCTCTCCATGGAAGGGGTTAATATGCATTCCCAGATGATCTCTTAAGTGCAGCTCTGTGTAGTTCTTTTTTATGTTCTCCCATTAACTTGTTTTTGGGTTTTTTGGTAAAAATGCTTTTTTTCCATGTGTATTTTATTGTAACTAGCATCAGGTTTTTTAATTTTTTTTAATGGAGAGACACTGTTGAGTGACTATTGTGGCTATGTTGTTTGGTTATAGCCTTTGAATGTCTGTGCCATGGGGCAGCACATCTGCCTTGGTCTGATCTTAAGGAAAGACCTTTTATTAAAATACGTGAACATTTCTCTTTTTTCTAGGAAAAATAAAAAAATTTAAAAAAACTTTAAAAGTGGGGGGKAGGAGGAGGAAAAAGCCCAATTAAGATAAAAAAATTTACTAAAAGGTTTTTTTTTTTTTTTGTAACTAACTTAAATCATAGGAAATAAACTCTTGAATCAGGTCTTTAATATTTATAAGCAGCAGAGCTGATCAGCCCGTTTTTGGCTATGGTTTGTAACACTTTTTATGAGCGTGGGGGTTCCTCTGCTCCTCTGCCTCCCYGGGGGCTGCTCAGGGGTGATGCTGCCTTTTGCCAACCCTCTTTTTCCAGATCTGTCTGGCACCAGCTCTGTGATTCCAAGGGGGAATCCCTCCCCGTGGAACTCATCYCCTGAGGGCAGCCTGGGCTGTCTCCATGGGAATCCCAGTCACGGGGTGATGCAGGATTTTGGGGCGGTTGAGAGGGAAGAGCTGTTTGCCCCCAATTTCCGTGGGGTACAAGACAAAATTCTAGGCCAGAGAAAATATGTTTTTCCCTTTTGAGTAAAACAGTTTCTCTGTTTTAAAACTTACACTGAAGGACCAAAGAATTCAAAATTTCRCCTGTTTGTGGCCCTTAAATTTTAACTTTCCATTGCCACACTGCACTCATGGCAGAGCAGCCTGAAGGAATTAGCACTAAACCCTTCCCTTGCCCCCACTCCACCCTCTCTCAGCACTCTCTTTGCACAAGCATATAGACTTTTCTCACTTTCCTCTGGTTCTTGAAGAAACACTTCCTAAATTTAGGTTTCTATCAATTTGTTTGCTGCTTTAAAAAAARAAAAAAGGAAAGGAATATCTGAAATGTGAATTTATTTTCTTAAGCATCAGATGGAAAAGAGAACTTCATCTTTGCGTATTTTGTGAATGTTCTGGGGGCCATTGACAATTAATGACAATTTCTGAACCAAATGAGGTGGGAGCAGGGGGAAGGAGCAGTGTTCCTGACCCACTCCAGCAGTTGTTGCTGTCTGCTCTGGGCAGGAAGGACAAACAGAAATCACAGCACTGCAGCTGAGGCTTAAGAGTCTGCGATCAGCTTTTGTATGGTGTAAAAAGAGCTGAAATAAACCTGGTGCTAAGAAGTGCAGCCCCTGTCACGTACTGTCAGGCTTCCTTCTGAAGCAGGAACTCCCTTTACAGGACCCACAGTAACACAGCAGAGCTGAGGGGGCTTCAAAATGAAGTTGGGGTCCACGAGGCTCCTCGGGGCGCAGTCCCTGTCTGGGTGCTGCCTCYTCACTCAGACTCCTTAGTGGATAATGACATTTTCCTCCCCGAATTTTTGGGAGCTTCAGAAGTGCTGACCTCATGATGAATTGGGCAGGTCGGGCACTTCTGAGCTGAGAGCTGAGGAAAGGGAGATGTGGTTGTGGTGTTGTGAAACCACAGCATCCTAAAGGTCAATAAACTCAGACATTATCATGGAAAACCAACCTCGAAGCACATGGCTTGGGACAACACTACCTTGGGTAGATGAGAGCACCAARCAGGGCCAGAGCTGTAGGTGAGAGCCAGGAGCTGAAGGATTTGAGCATTTTTGGGCTAACAGGACCACATTGAGCTCAGCTCAGCCTCAGGGGCCGTAGCCATGACCCAGGAGAGGTCTGGAGCTGGAGCACATTTCCTTAAGCAGATCCCACCCCTGGGGGGTCGCTGCAGCCGATCCCCTGCYGAAGGGTTTTACACTTTTGTACATCTCTGAAGCTGAACCTGAGCCACKTGCAAGGCTTGTGCAGCTGAGACAATGAAGAGAATTCCTTACCCTGGGAGGAAGCCCSTAACGCTGAATGGACTCAGTCATCCATTGCTGTTCCACCAGCCTCCAAACCTCCTCTCTTCCTCCTTCCCCCCTATCTGAGAAGKAAGAATATTACCAGTGTTTTCCTCCAGAGTTCTAATAATCCTTGGAGTGATGGCCAACAGCAAAATAGATGTTACTGATGTAAAACAYAGTATTTTAAAGGTGAAGTATTCCTGCAAAGTAGTGACTGCATCGGAGAGATTTCTGGGGCTTCCCCACTCCGTAGCTTCCAATGTTAAAACGAAATAAATACAGTATACGTTTTAAAAAAAATAATAATAATACACACTGCAGTATTTCTGGTGGCAATTCTTGCCCAGTCCCTTCCCTGCTTTCCCCAGGAGGAAGGGCACTGGGCAGAGGCGCCCCTAGTCCGTGTAGAAGTTGGCAGAATGGTGATCAGTGGTGTAAAACGTGTTGTTGATTCCATGTATAGAACTGTGATTTCAGCTGTCGTTCTCTCGTACTCTGTAAATATGTGTTTTGGCTGTCGGAAACCTGGTTTAGACTCTTTTCTTGGCAGAGTGAATTTGCATGTGGGGCTGGAAAGAACTCAATCTGTGTCACAGTTTCCAAGGGCAGGATGGATTTTTTTTTTTTTTAGAGGACAATAAATTTTTATTTTTTTGCTAAGAAAAAAAAATACAAACYGAAGCGGTGTGTGCGTGTGTGTGCGCGCGTGCGTGCCCTGGTGGATGTGCAGCCCCGGGCCCTGCTCTGGGGCTGGGGAGGGTGGAGAAATCTGGGCTGTGGAGCCCTCAAAACAACAGATTGATGGCCAATTTTGCCTTTTTCCCTTTCACACAACTAAGAATAATTCCTCCCTGAGCTCCCCTCCCTTTTTGGGGATTATTGAAATTCACTTTTCTGATGGAGGTGTGGTGGAAGAGGGGGAACATCAATGCGGTGTGGTTAAGGTGGGGCAGAGAGATCCTTTTGGAAGTTTCAAAACCAAAAATTTCTCACCCAGATTCTTGGTCTGGACATGGATTTATGTCCTGGAAGAGCCAGGCTGGGCAGAGGTGAGCTGTGCCAGCTCACAAACAGTGATTTGTGTGTTGGCACCCAAAGGAACACACCTGGCCTATGGATCCAAGAATTACCTGTTCATTTTGGTCCAATTAATGCTTCAAAGGTGYATCAACCCAATTAATCCAATCACAGCAATAATCAGAATGGGCCCATTCGTATTGCAAATTATTGGTAACACAATGAAATCAGTAGATTGAAGTGCCAGCCCTTCCCTCTCCTGTTCCAGCAATGTGCCTGTGCTGGGCTCTGCACCAGCATGAGGAGGATGATGGGGATTTCTTTTTTTTTCATCCGTCTTGTATTTTCTAGGAGCTCGTTTTGTGTGCTTCAAGCTTTATTTTTTAATGTTTGGGCTCTCATGGGGTTAATTATGCATTGTTTGATTAAGGTTTATTAGTCCTTTCCTATAAAAGATGAGATTTCTTTTAGGGTGGCACAAGACCCACACAACTGCCAGGAGCTGAGCAAAAACGAAGCTCAAACACTTTGAATAAAAACAGTGCAAACAACCTCGAAAGAGAGGTCAGGCCATGCCACCTGCACCCTGGGAYACACCTGGCTGGGCCAGCTCAGTGATTTTTGAACAAACAGCTAAAAAATGAGCTGAGAGCACATTCAAACCCCCAGCCTCGTGTAGGGAMTCTCGTGACAAAGTGTGAGGTGGCTGCCAGCAGGTGCCAGCTCCTGGTGAGCTGTGGGGTGCGGGCACAGGGCACTGAAATGAGCCCCGGGASCGCATCCCCACAATCCCAGAGCCAGCTCTGGAATATTATCCCTCTGCACTGAAACCTAAGCCAGCAAATGGCTTCCTTGGGAGCCGGCAGCGCCTTAATCCCTCCTGCTGTGGGCTCTGGCACACAGATACCAAAGGAGCTTTTTTCTTTTTCCACCCCCGCATCCAGGCTCTGACCTGAGCTGACCCAGTGCTGCTCTGCCCACCGAGGCAGCAGCTGGTGCTCCGGCCCCCGGGAGGGGGATGCTTTTAATTCCCTGCTCCTGGCAGCTCCCAGGGACCTGCTGCAGCTCAGACACAGCCACCCCCATGCAGGGTGGGGGGAAGAGAGAGATGCAGGTGTATAATCAGTACTAATTGCAGCAAAAACGAGCTCCAGAAAACCCCAAATTGTTAAAACCACCTGCCCTGCCAGGCATTTTTGCTGTGACCCCACATAGATGCACCCTGCAGAGCCTCCCACCACTTCCAAGGGACTCAGGTCCCTGGCACAGGCTGGGGTGGCACCAGGGACCTGCACCCCAAAATGCCTCCTGGTTTGGCTGCCAGGGCTGTGATGCTCTTAATTGGTGCCCAGACTTCCAGCAGGTCAAATAAATTACAAAACCAGGCACAAGAGCTATGGATGTTTTAAAAAAAGAAATTCAGCAGCTCTCACCAGACCTCAAATGCCTTGTCCCACCCCACTATGCTGCTGCTCCCAGCACAGGGCCACTGCCCCAAAGCACAGACTCAACCCAAGCATCAGCTTTGTGGCTTTTCATTTAAAATAAGAGGCTTATCCACAAGAAAATGAGGGGAGAAAAGAATTAAAATATTTTTCAAAAATAWAATGAAGGCAAGTTTGGCCATGGCTGTCCCCAGCCTGAATCGGTCACGTGGCACACAGGAGGGTTGGGGACACGGCCAGGAGATGCAGCACTGGCAGTGACAAACTCCAGAGGGACAGACAGGGACAGCCACACTTTCCCATCCCTCGTGTAGTGTTACCAGTCCAGGCAGGCAAAGAAACCCCCTCAAATCCATCTGCCCACCCTCCCCAGCTCACAGGAGCACTGCTGCCCGAAGGTGGGGCTGAGATGGGTGCTGGGGGTGACGTGGGGCGGGCACAGGGACCCCTCTGTGTCCCCAATCCCTGTGGATGGTTCTGGCTCCGACACCACAGAAATCCTGAGGTCCCACTGGCCGGACCCCTCCTTTCAGGACCCTCTTCTGCTCCTCCCCTCACTCTGTCTCCTTGGACTGCTTGGCTCGYTGCTTGCGGAGCTTCACGAAGGCCTGAGCCTCTCTGTCCCTTTTCCTGGACTCGAGCAGCTGCAGGATCTCATCTGYCGGAGCAGAGGGCGGGGATGGTGGGAAATGTCCCCCAGCCCCCTCCCCACCCTGCAGGGGCTCGGATCAGCCGTGTCACCACCTACCCGTGGGTTTGGGGTGGGTCAGGGGCAGCCGGGTCTGGGGCACYCGTGCCATGTCAGTCTCGTCCTCCTGGCTGTCCAGGCCGGGCAGGTGGCACAGGGGGAAGAAAGCTTCGCCCTCCAGGTCGTTTGCCCCCAGCATGTCGTAGTCGAACACGGTCAGCAGCAGGCAGGCCCCCTCCTGCCGGCATTTCTCGGGGGGGATCAAGCTGCAGGGGGACGGGAGGTTGGGCATCAGCACATCCCACCCCCTCCGTCCCGAAACTGAGCCCTCCGTGCTCCATGGGAAGGCACCGCCCTGCACGGACCCCAACCCCGCAAAGCACGGGATCCCAGCGCCGCCCCGCACCCTCCAGCAGTTTGGGGGACCCCTCTGGGGTGCAGGGGGTGACATCCCAGCACAGCACCCAGTTCCATGGCTGCAGGGTCTGGGGGTGTCAGTCCCTACGCACAAATCGAAGGCTTCGTCGAAGAGGGGGTGCAGCTCGTTCTTCTTGCACTGSGTGGTCCTGGCCACCACCTCGGGGAACTCGTGCCGGGGCTCCAGGGTCAGCTGGACAAAGGGGTCGCTGGAGCCTGGAGGGGTGCAGACATCAGCCCCCTTTCCCCTGGGATGAACCCAGCCGGGGGGGCTCGGACACACTGCGGGGGCTGCGAGGGGTCAGGGCAGCCTCAGCACAGCCCCCAGCCCAGCCCAGGCTCCGGGAGGGTGCGGGACCATCCCTAACTCTGCCCGCACACGATCGGCCACGGGTGGCTGCAGGAGGAGTGACCTCTCCTGGAGAGCTCCCCGAACGACAGCCGGACYGCAAAAAGGTCCCTGCTCGCGTTTTTATATCTGCCACTGCTTCGCTCGATGGAGAAGAGCCGCCTGCCCTGTGGGATGTGGGCACWGCGTCCTGCCTGCTCCTGCCTGCACATCCCCCTGCACCAGCGCAATGACCCCACTTCTCCCCAAATCCATCTCCTCGAATGCAAAATCAAACTGAGAATCCTGTTATTGCCAGCATCTCTCCTGACTGGGGCCAATGTCCTAACTGGGGACCAAGGACAGGGGGTTCTGGGGCTCCCGGGGGTGTCCTGGGGCTCCCCTGCCCACCCTCACCCACCGTTGGAGTCCAGCGGGATGAGGTTGGTGGCGTTGAGCACTTCCACGCGGAGTTTCTGCTCCGAAGGCTGGTACAGGGCTTTGATGGTCACGGCCCCGTACTTCTCTGAGCTGGTGTCCAGCTGGGCAGGGAGGGACAAGGATAAGGGTGCTGTCCTTAATCCCCCTCATGGAGGGGATGCACAGGGTCTGGCAGAGGCTGAGCAGGAATTTTGGGGCACCCGGTGGGTGCTGGAATCCTCTGGGATGCATTGAGCCCCTTCAGCTCAACGCTGAGATAAAACCCACCCCAGCAGCCCCAGGACCGGGAGGGTGGTGGGGAAATTCYCCATTTCCACAGGCAGGGCCTGTGAGCAGGGGTGGGATGTGGAAAGGGGCTGGGAGCACCCTCTGGACTCCCACCTGCTGCTGGATCCTGTTGCTGAAGTATTTCTGGATGAGTTTGTGGCTGCTGGCGGAGCAGAGGGCCAGGTGGGTCTCCAGCGTCTGTGACAGGGTGACAGGGGATGGTCAAGCACTCGGACAGGTCACCAGCCCCGGGATGTCCCCCCTGGCATCCCTTTGTCCCCAAGGCCCCTGTGGGGACCCCCCATGCCCGTCCCCGTACCCGAAAATCTGCGCTGTGCAGGGTCTCCAGCGGCAGCCCGCAGCCCTCGGCGTGGAAGCACAGCTCCAGGCTCTGGGGACAAGGACAGTGTGAGCCACCAGCCAAACCCCGTCCCTGCCAGGGTCCCTGCTGCCCCTCGGTACCTTCAGGGCACAGAAGAGCCTCTGGCAGTGCTGAGCTGAGGGCACCTGCGGCCCTGACGCCGCCGAGAGCACGGACAGGGTGTGGTGCCACAGGAGGGCGAGGAGGCTGCGGGGCAGAGCGAGGAGCTGAGAGCAGGACCCGGGCTGGGCTGGGCTGGGCTGGGGGTGATCTCAGCTCAAGGGCTCTGCAAAGCCCCAGTGGCTCTGCAAAGCCCCAGTGGCTCATCCTGCCAGCCCCAACCCCTCGGAGCTGAGGGGATGTTCCTGCCCCAGGGATGGTGACACCGGTGGCCTCTGCCACGGGGCGTCCCCAGAGCCCCAAAACCCTTCACCTTTTGAAGTTCTCCTGGACCAGGTGCTCGTTGAGGTACTGCAGCTCCGACTCCAGGAACTTCATGAGAGGGATGATGGACTGCAGAGAGAGCAGAGGGGCATTGTGGAAGGTGGGGGGATCCCAGCAGGGCACAGTGGGCAGGGAGGATCCCAGAGGGGCCCGTTCCCACAGAACACGGGCAGGCTGTGCCTGCCCCAGTCCTGCTGCTGACACGAGCATCAGGTGAAGTATGGGGAGCTCTGGGCCCCATCTCTGGGGTGTCCTGTGCCCCAGGCATGGGCAGGGAGTGGTGATGGAGGGGGCAGGGGCCTCCACCAAGCAGGCAAAGGCTATCCATGGCTGCCCAAGAGATGGTCCGGGGAGGGGGGCTGGACCAGGTACTCACATCCTCAGGCTTCTGGGTGTCACTGGAGGAGGAGAGCTCCTGGATGTGCCTGGCAATGCCCTTTTCCAGCTGCCAGGCAGAAATACAGGAGGACACTTGGCCTTCTGCTCCAGCCTCCCCATGCCAGCCCCACCTTGTCCCCAACCCAGGAGCCTCAGGGGCTTCAGGGTGGAACTGCTCTGAGCCAGGGGAGGGACAAGGGGGGGCAGTGGCAGGTGGTCACCTTGGTGGCCAGGGCTTGCACCACGTCCCGGACCTCRTGGTCCAGGCAGGCCAGGGTGCTGTCCAGCTGGTGGTGCAGAGTGTTCTGGATCTGCTGTGGGTCGATGACRCCCCTCGTGCGCTGCTCCAGCTGTGCCCAGTCCAGCTGTGACGGCAGCTTCAGCATCTGCAGCCGCAGCTGCTCGATGTTGTTCACCACGATGCACAGCTGGGGGAGGTGGGTCTGCTTTAGGGTGTCCCACAACCCTGGAGCATCCCACATCCCAATTCCCAATCCCATTGTGATCACTATCTCTATCACCATCTCTATCCCAATCCCATCTCCATCCCCATCCCCATTCCTAATCCCACCTTCATCACTATCCTCATCATCTCTATCCCTATTCTTATCCCATATCCCCATCCCTGATCCCATCCCCATCACTATCCCCATCATCATTCCTATCCCATTGTGATCACTATTTCCATTATCATCCCCATTCCCATCCCCATTCCCAATCCCATTTCATCACTGTCTCCATCATCTCCATCCCCATCCCCAATCCCATCCCCATCCCCATCCCCATCCCCAATCCCATCCCCAATCTCATCTCCAATCCCAACCCAATCCCATTGCCATCACTATCCCCATCAATCTCCATCCCCATCCCCAATCCCATTCCCATCCCAATCCCATTGCCATCACTCTCCCCATCATCCCAATCCCACCTCCACTCCCGTTCTCATCCTCACCCGTGTCCCCATCCCCATGACTCTCCCCCTGCTCACACCATTTCCCTCCTGGCTGTTGGGGCCAGCTGACCCCAATCCAACCCCAATTGGGCTCTCTCCACAGCTCAGCCTCTCCCCGTTTGCCCAGAAACCACAGCCAAATCCTGCCTTTCTTTCCTGGAGCAGCCAGGACAGGCTCCTGCACCAACCTTGTTGGCCGCCTCGCCCTCGTCCTGCTCGCTCAGYGACAGCGCCTCAGCCCTGCCCTTGATGAGCCTGCAGTACATCAGGGAGATCTTGCACATGTCCTGCAGGACAGAGGGGAAACCAGCAGGGCTGAACCACGAAACCTGGAGACCACCAGGGATCCAAGGAACCACATCAGTGCATCTCCTTCACAGAGATTGGTCCAAAGAACCACATCACTGCATCTCCTTCACGGAGATTGGTCCAAGGAACCCCATCACTGCATCTCCTTCATGGAGATTGGTCCAAGGAACCCCATCACTGCATCTCCTTCACGGAGATTGGTCCAAGGAACCACATCACTGCATCTCCTTCATGGAGATTGGTCCAAGGAACCACATCACTGCATCTCCTTCATGGAGATTGGTCCAAGGAACCACATCAGTGCATCTCCTTCATGGAGATTGGTCCAAGGAACCACATCACTGCATCTCCTTCACGGAGACGTGTCTCCACGAGCAGGAAGAGGAAATTCCAGGTGCTGCTGCCCAGGTGCACAAACCTCCAGGAGATTGACCATGATCATGAAGGCTTTCTCAGGGTCTGGCCAGCTGAGCTGCTGCCAGGTGGTCACGATCTGGGCGTAGCAGGTGGACAGGTCAACGGTGGACGTGCTGTGCTTGTGGTACCCGTAGGGTTTCAGCTGTGGGGCACAGAAGGCAAACGCAGCTTGTACAGAGATGCCATCCCTGGGAGCAGAGCTGCTCCTCTGCTTTGGGGCTCTCTGGCCCATCATCAGCTCCTTGTAGTCCAACGCCATCTCAGAGCCACTTTGGAGAGTGCAGGAGGGTGGATGGAGCAGTATGAGCTCCCTCTGCACCCCAACCAGCACTGCTGGACCCCACTGGAGAGCAGGGAGAGGAGCCYGTGRCCCCATGGCTGCCTTCCCTCCCCTCCTCAAAGGGGGTTCTCACAGCATGGCCCAAATGTAGGGCCCTCAGCTCCCATGGGCTGCCAGGGAGCAGTGAGGGAAGGGACAGGGATGTGGTGTGGGATCAGCTGGCTGTGGGGATCACATCCTTTGTTATGATTTTGGAGAGGAACAGCCTGCTCCTGGTCACCAGGGCACCCTGTGSTGATCCTGAGCCAGGCACAGCAGCGAGGCGTGGGGGACAGCTGGGGTGTCCCCAAAGGGARGAGGGAGATTTCTCCTCCCTGCATTACCTGGTCCATCTGCACRGCTCTCTGAGCCCTCTCCAGCGTGGTGGTGTAGGCTTTCTGYAGCCACAGGGGCAGGGCTTCCTCGAACCACTGGTGGAAATCGCTCAGGGCCAGAGGGCCCTCCCTGGGGGTGAAGGCACCGGCTTGGCCAACGGCACCACAGAGGCACGGGGCTGTCACTGCTCCTGCTCTGCTCCCACATGGACCCCTCTGATCCCACATCACTGCTCCTGCTCTGCTCCCACATGGACCCCTCTGATCCCACATGGCCCCTCCTGCTCCCACATCTCCCCTCCTGCTCCCAAATCTCCCCTCCTGCTCCCACATGGCCCCTCCTGCCCCCACACCAACCCCACCCCAACACCATCCCCAAACCCCTCTGGTGCTGCCCCCAGTGAYCCCAACAATGTTTTTTGTCACTCCAGACAGCAGCAGCCCGCCGTGCCCCGTGTGCCATGGGTGATGCAGGGGATGGGGAGGATCTGGAGACACTCTCCATGAGTTGCTCCATCCCTCCCTGGGCACTGTCCCCTCTCAGGACTGGCACCTCCTGGGCAGCGAATCCTTCATGCCATGGAGCTGCTGCAGTTTCCTGTACAGGTCGAAGAGGCTCTCGGCCATGGGTCTGGACATGCTGCTGTCCACCTTGTGCAGCTGCTCCTGGACGTGCTCGGCGACCTGGGCGGGAGCAAAGATGGGGTACACGGTGAGGTCCAGCCAGGAGGGCTCCTTCTGGAGTGAGGGTCAGCTCAGGGGATTTCAGGAGATTTTTTGGGTCAAATAGTCACCACAGTCACTCTGTGGGGTCACAGGGAGRGATGGGGAGGTTCCCTTCCCTTGCCAAGCAATTGCCACCTGAAGGGCAACCAAAAACCTCAGCCTGGCTTTAGAGCTTTAGTCCCTCAAGGGCAGAGCACCCCAGACTTGCTCACCAGGCTCTCCAGCTCCAGGTAGGCGATGGAGAAGATATTCAACCTCAAGGTGCTGCACGAGAGAAACGCGGAGTTAGGAACCGGCCAAGCCCAGCCCAGCAAAGCCAGCCCAGCAAAGCCAGCCCAGCAAAGCCAGCCCAGCAAAGCCAGCCCAGCAAACCCTGCCAGGCCAGGTCCTCGACCTGAGGGTCAGGACTGTCCAGCTCCAAGGGGCAGGGATGGGACCACAGACCCACCCTGTGGAGACACCAAAATGCCCTGTCCCTCCTGACCCCAGGGTGGGTGGATGAGGATGAGACCAAGCCCTGAAACCTACGTGCTGAACAATTTATTCCAGATCCTCTGGCACTGCTTGAGATCTTCTATCACCTCCAGSAGGAGCTTGGACAAGGCTTTGCTGTTCTCCTCCATGCTCTGCAAGGGAAGGAACAGCCCCTTTTGGATGCTCAGACATTCTGAGGTGACTTCATGGCATCAGGGGGACAGAGACGGGCACTGACCTTCACCATGGGCTTGAGGTGCTGCTTCTGCATGTGGAACCACTCCGAGGTGCCCGACTGCAAGAGAGGAGCCCTGCTGGGATGGCAGGCATGCAGGAGGGACAAAGCCAGCTCTGTCACACCCTGCAGCC